CCGTCATCTGACTGATGATAGCGACAAGTTTGATCAGTGCTGGGGAGCCAAATTTGTCGATGGCTTTGGGCGGGACACCCCAGGCGACTGCAGCGGTCTGCAATGTCTGTTCTTGTGAGTTGCTGAGTGAAGGGAATTCCAGAGCAATAATGTCAAGATACTTTTTTACCTGTGTTTTTTGTTTGTCACTGATGCCTTTGATGGCACCAAACCATCTGGTAATGCCGGATTCAGAGTGAACGCCAGTGAAATGCTCCTGAAACCAAACACTGGCTTTTGTAGGCTGCTGAAAGATGCGCTGGGGATCCATCTTGGGATCGAGGGGTGCCGCCTTCTTTGGTGTGAGAGTTCAGAAGGGAGCGTCCCGGAAAATGCATACCTGTGGTGGATGACGATGCTGGGGAAACATGTGGCGCGTTGGTATCTTGTTCTGCAACTGTTGTTGTGGAAGGGGAAAGGCTACCAGTGGTAAGACTGGTGTCGTTGTGTGTGGCGTCATCTGTGGTAGCTCGTTTCTGTCCACGAGTCGTTGTGGTGGGGGAAAACTCAATTGTGGAAATTGAGTCAGGTGGTGGAGAGGGTGTGTTGATAGGAGTGCTGGGTGCTGTGGCTCGTTTTGTTTTCTTTTGTGCTGGTGTGCTGGGTGCCGCAGTGTTTGCAGCCGGAGCACGGAGAGCTTCGATTGTCTCCAGTGCTGTTGAAAGTCGTGCTTCCAGGTCACTGATGCGGTGTGCAGCCAAAGTGTCTGCTTCTGCCGGCTGCGAAGATTGAAGTGGAAGATGAGGTTGTGATTTGCTGGATTGTGGTGGTGTTGGAGATTCGGTGGGTTGGGATTGTGTGTTGTCCGTGTCAGATTTGACATCTTGTTTGTCCTTTTTGTTGCCGTCATTGTACTGGTCCTGCAGCTCTTGCAGGTATAACACCAATTCCTTGATGAGCTGTGACATCGCTGGCCGTTTTGCGAGTGTGAGCTTCTCTTGCCAGCAGAATGCGGTGGCTGCTTGGTCCAGATCAATTCTCCGTGCTCGGAGCTGACCCATAAGCTCAGTGGTGAAGACGGCTTCGCTGACATGTTTGCTGCATGTGAGATGGATGTCGAAGCCGTGTGCGGCGTAACGTAGCCAGTATGATGACCAATTGTGTCGTAGAAATGCTACCAATGGTGCTGTTGCGATCGGCATGCCTGCCGTGCGGTTGTGCACTGAATGTGGTGTAGATTGAATGTGTTTGGGTAGATTGAGGCCATAAAGCTGTCTGTTGTCCCAATGCTCTGGTGTTTGAACGAAGTCGTTTGGTATCTGGGCACTTGCAGGCGTAAGATTGGTGTGTTGTTGTTGTTGGGGTGTGGTGGTGGCCTGAGGCAATGTGTGTGAAGAAATGCTGGGGTTTTGAGTAGCCGTCGGAGATGGACTAACAAATGTGCGTTGGGGAGTGGCAGGCGTGGGGGTTGGCAGTGTGGTGGGTGAAGCTGAGACGGTAAACTGCTGGGGTGGGGGAGGGGGTGGAGGGAAAGGAGGGAAGGTGGTGCTGTGGCTGTAAGGGTGAGCTGAACCCCAGGTGGTTGGGGTCTGGGGTGAGGTGTGGGGTGGGATGTTGTGGATCCCTGGTGGTGGGGAAATCGGGTGCATTGGGGTGCTGCTGGTTGAAGCTGTTTGTCGCTGCACCGCACTGATTGCTGTGCCGATGATGCCTGTTGGCATTGTTGTGTGCCACTGAGGCTGTGTCGGTTTGTACATGGTTGCACAATGGGGCACTACAATTGCCTGTGACTGCAAAAGCTGCAATAGCATGCGCATGGACAACATAATTGGCTTGAGTGTCAGCATCTACTTGTGGAATGCATCCAGCATGCAGCTGCATCGTCTCTTCTTTGGCTCAAAAGCGGGGTCGGAGCAAATGCTTGATTGCATACAGCTATGTGCAACGGGATTCAGGCCTGGAAGAGAAATGATACTCGAGTGTGAAGAGTAGACACGGAAGAAGAAAGTAATACAGAACATCACTGAATAAGGCCGAATCCAACGATGCTGAAATGCCCCGAGTGGAATCCCCACTTCTCTGGGGTCCGCACAACACCCTTTCGCCCCACGATAAAGGCCTCTCTATACATGTCCCGATACGTCATCTTATAATGCTGATACTTAGTCCGAATTGTCCCGATGACGAGCACTCCCTGTTGGCCTTTCGGCCGCCGTGTACATTGATCGGCTACTATATGGACCGTGCTTTCCGATACATCTCCTGGGGTTGCGTTCCCGTAAATGACGCAAGAGGGAATCTCTGTGTAGGACTTGTTGTCGAAGCAGTGTCTGACTGAACTTGGGCGGACCAAGTCTTCGCGCATAATGCGCGCGGCACTTGCAATGTCCGTGCCGTGTCCGGCGGTGTAGATGTATGACTCTCCGGGTGGGTCAGTGGCACGGGTGCCGAACGCTCTACGCTGCTCTCCAGCCCAAGGAATGAATAACATAGTGTGCACGCCGTCCGATATTGGCGTCAGCACTGCCCCAAGTTCGTTGCACGCTGATCGCGTGCCTGATTGTAGCACTGCATGTGCAAATTCGGCCAATGTCTCCTGCCTAAAATCGCTGTCAGCAGCTATCTCGCCCAAAGTTTTGGCGAGTTTGTGAGCTTCTTCCATGTCGACGGCGTGGGGAGTCGGCTTCTCATGTTCGTAAAGCTCAGAAAATGGCACCACATCAATCTGTGGTGGTCTGCTGTGTTTGCCCAGTTGTTCGAGAGTTGGCTGACACGATGGGGCAGCGGCTATTGAGGCACCGTAGGTCGGGGCAGCCCGAACAGAGCTGGAGGGATTGTGCTGAGGCTGTTGGCGGGAGGAGGTGCCCTGTCCGGCTGGGGGCTGCTGTTGTGCTGCTTGGTTGCCCTTGATGCGGAGGGCGATTCGCTGAACTTGCCAGGCCAATGTCCTTTGTGGGACCTTGGGTGGGGTGGGTGGCCTCTGGCGTGGCGGTGTGGCCCTGTAATGCCACTTGTTGGTATCAACGTCACGCACTGTAGAATAGCTGCGGAGCACAATCGGGTTCCGCGGAGGTGTCGACGAGGATCGCCTGTTGTCCCTGCGAGAACGACTTCTGCGGGTGTCGCGGGATCGGTGGTGTCTGTGTCGGCGGTGCTGTCTCCCGCTGCTGGCAGGTCGTGCTCTGCTGCGTGTGCGCCGTCGGCGTCTAGTGCTCAAGGTGCGGGTTCTGCTGCGTGTGGGTGAGCGCCGTCGCCTGCGTGGCAACGGAGGATGGTGGGATGAAGCAGGTGCTGCGAGCGGGTCAGTGTCTCCCGATCCCGTAGCGGGTGGTGATTGTGTAGGTGGCAATGTGCTGACAGAGGGGGTGTTGGCTGTGCTTATTGGCTGGGGTTGGGGGGTGATTGCCGGTGCCTGCGGGGCAATGTGTGCAGCATCGGTGGTGGTAACATTGGTGGTGTGAGATTGTGAAGCTTGTTGAAGGGTCGTTGGCGGCGGTGTATGGGATTGTTGAGTGGGTTGTGTGGCAGGGATGCTGCAAGGTGCAGGTTGGGGTTGTGGAACAGGTGGTGTGAAAGGAATGTTGTATGTGGCAGGCTGGGAATGATGCGGTGTAAGAGGTGATGGGCTCGTGGGAAATACTGTAGGATGGGTAGGCATAGGAACGGGGTTCAAGAAAGTGGGGGAATGTTGTGTCATGAATTGCTGGGGTGGAGGTTGTTGTGGCAGCTGGGGCTGTGGTGTGCTGAGTTGTGTGTATACCATCGGATGCTGTGGTATAGAAACATTGTGTCCACATGGCATCATGTGGAAGCTGTGTGTCTGCTCAACAGGGATCGTAGTGGGTTGCGTCGGCAGTGCGTGCTGCTGAGTGGCAGCAATGCCGGTTGGCATCATTGCTGGGTATCCTTGTGGCTGCGGCACCCAGGTGTTCGGGTGAAACTGATTGAGCACCGGTCGGGCTGTTGGTGCGTATGGTGTTGCTGGTGGCTGCGTGGTAAAATAATCCGGCCACATAGCTGCAACGTAGTTGGTGAAACAAACACAGTTGCACAAGCAAAGTGCAGGCTGTCCTGGTTGTCTTGAGAGGTCGAAGACGGAAAGAAAGAAGAGGGCCGATTACTTCCCGGAGGAAGCGCTGCTTCACTTGCATTAGACAAATGTTACCGCACCTGCCCTCATGTCAGTTGCACATGCCCTTGCAGTCCCTGAGAAATAAAGAAGCGATCGAATAGAGGACAGAATAGCGAGGTAATCCTGTGCACTAGCGGCCGGTTACTGCACTAGACGTCGGTTACTGCACCTGCACTCATGTCAGACGCACATGCGAGCATCAGAGAGAGAGAGATAAAGTAGCATCGGGAGAATCTGAACGATCTGAACGAAGGCTGAACACCCGGTTCATCACCGGTCTCCCCGGAGGGTCACCACGGCGCCATGACGGAAAGCCGTTGCTCTGGAGTCTCAACGACCCACGCTGATCACACTGATGGATTCGGCCAAGAGTACGAGTGCAAGAGGAAAAAGAGAGGCATGTTGTTGCAAAAGCTTGTCAGATTGCGGCAAACGTGCAAAGCTTTATGCTCAAGCAAAAGGTGGAAACCGTAAATGCACTAATCTTGCTGCCTCAGGGGGCCAGCGTTTTCTAATCTGGCTGCCTCAGGGGGCCCAGCTTGCAGGTACACAGTTCAGCGTCCTGAACTGCTTCCCACTCCATGGCATAGCTTCGTTGCATTGGGTCTGCCAAGGAGTGCCCAATGCCCCTGCAACAGTTGATTTGGTTAGTGTCCAATGTCTGATTATGTTGAAAAGCAAAAATTGCAAACAGTGTAGGAGTGACCCTCTGCTCCCATGTGCTAGGGAGGTTCACACACACACACACACATACACATACACATACACATACACTGCCTGGACTGAGACGCGCAGTAAGTTGTGTCGATCCGGCTGCTCCCAGCTTCGAGCCTAAGAGTAGCCCTTTCTGAACCTGACAGGAGTCCCCGCCCTTGCTTCGCCGAGGAGCCCATGGTGTTGATGGTGGGCTTTGGGTGGTTGCCTGAGCTGAGCACGAGGCGGCGCAGGTGCAGGGGAGCTTGTAGTGACGAAGAGCAGCGAAAGGGAAGCTGAGGCTCAGGACAGGTGGCGCACATCATGTTCTTTCCCAGGTTCCAGTTCCTGGCACGCTCCTACATACAATTGCTATGTTTATGGCCCTCACTTCTTGAAACTTAATTAAGCTCCGGTCCCCTTTGAGCGGGGACTCCGGAGGCCAAAACGGGGCGCCTGCAACCTGGGCAAACCCAGTCCGAGGACTTCCATGACCGCGGCATGGCGAAGTCCGAGGCCGCCGTGGACAAAAAGCACTCTCCTACTACGAACTACGAAGTACTACTACTGCTACTACTACTTCTACTACTACTACTGCTGCTACTGGTCCTGCTAGTACGAGTAGCGCTACGACTACGACCAAGGACTAAACGACCACTACGACTACTGCTGCTGCTGCTGCTGCTGCTGCTGCTGTCGCGGCAGCTTTAGGCCTCTCCCGGCAGATTCCATTACGGCGTCCTCTTTTGCAAGGCAGCATGGACGGTGCAGTTTTCCAGACCGTTGACTACTTTACTTTACCTTAGTGTAAACTCCTTGATGAATTCACCCCTTCCCCTCATCAGGATCATGAACAGGGATCCTTAAATGCAGGCCTTCTATGGGGTCTACGTCAATTTGTCGAAGATCTTTCGGAGCCGATTGCAGCTGAGAAAGAACGTTCGCAGTGTCCCTGTACCGGCGCGCAGCATCTGTTAACCCGTGGGAACTGTATGCAAGATGCACATCTCGTCCACGCTTGAATCCTTTTCGAAACTCGTCGAACAATGACAACCTCACCCGGCGCAGAGTCCATTCTTTTTTCGTCGTGATGGTGGCCCTTCGTGGTCACTCCTTCAGAAGGGCGCTTTTCGCAAACCCCTTTGGGGATCGGATCCGAAGGCACGAAGACACCCGCTTACGTGGAGCTTTCAGGGACCTAGGAAGAACCGTATACTTCATCGGATGGACCTTGAGCCTTGAGCGCAGGAGCCGCAGGAGTCTGGAATCTTTCCAGATCGCCGCAAAATGGCCCGGCCCGAGGGGACCGAGGCTGGGACCGCCATGGCCGTTTCTTACTTGCGGTCCTTTCGGAAATGGGAAGGCACCTTACGTGCTCGGGCACTCGGATTCTGATCCGGGTGCCAGCTCCAGGGACGCCCCGGGCCGCTCTAGAGGGAAAGGTGTTTCAGGATGCGGGAGAAAATCTGGGAACAGGCTGAGGGCACAAGAGTCACAAGAGTCGAGGTTGAACAGTCTCTATGGCTGAGTGGCGTCCAAACACGCCCTACGATTGTGCTGTCGCCACGGTTCGCGGCCTTCACCAACAATCTATAGCGATCCTACTCTCTTGGAGTACGGTTGCCGTGTTCCTGTGCCGCGAATGCCGAACTTCTCCGGCCGGCGGCAGCCTGCATTTCTGACGAATTGTGCCAATAAGCTGGCTTCACGGGCTGCACAGGCTGCGGTAAACACCGCACTGGTGTGCGGAGCGATCTGTGCAGTCCAGTGTTAAACCTCCGCTCCCGTCGGAGAGAATGATAGAAATCCTGGATGATTTGGGGTTCCTGGTCCTGGCAAGGCGAGTCGGGCCGCTCGAGGCTCTCATTGCTCAGTGCTCTGCAGGCAGCGTCCTCGCTCGGTGTCTCAGCCATCGGCGGCGCCAGCACCGGCTTCCTCCGAGGAGTTGGAGCCGTTCGAGGCGTTGGAGCCGGGCGAAGGCGACGGGATCTGGTTGGGCACCACGGGCACCATGTGCTGCATGTACAGCACCTGCCACGCGGCACACGCGCCTCGACACTGCAACTCCTTCCGCTGCGCTCCGCTGCGCTCCGCTGCGCAGCGCGCCTCGTCGAAGGAGACTCGCCGCTTGAGCATCGGCTTGGGACGGTCCGCCTGCAGGAGCAGCACGGCAGGCGGCAGAGCGACGATTGCAGCATCCCCCCTTTCGGGGCCCCGGCATCCGCCAAGCAGCTGGCGCTGACCTGAGCCCGAAGGTCGAAGGAAGCTGGCCGGTCCTGGTCCTATAGGCCTAATCCCCAAGGCAAAAGAAAGCTAAAGAGACTCTGGGACTCCCGACCCTCCTCTGGAGCTTGCTGGGCGTGGGTCCCTCCTCCTGCCATACCATCACCCCGTAGGCCCTGAACCCTAAACCCGTGATGTTGCTAGTATTACGAGCCTTGCTATCGCAACTATGAGAGAGGGTTGCCATGATGAATAATCGCTCTCGTTCTTGTTGTTACTCTTGTGCTCATAAGCTCCACGAAAGCCCTGCCACCCCTACCTCGGGGATGCGCGGCTCCACGTTCACCGGGAGTTCCGGCGGCGGGGGCAAAGGCCGAGGCTGTGCGGGCGAAGGCAGCGCAGCTTCCGAGTGCTCGGGGCTCCGCTCGCCCTCCCCAACGGGGCCTCCAAAGAAGGGACACTTGCGGCGTGCAAAGAAACAAACCAGCATTCCCAGCACTCCCAGCACTCCTCCTCCTTCTCCCTTCTCTCATGTAGGTGTATGCATGCACACACGAAAGACAAACCCCTTTGTCTCCTGTACCTTTGACCTCTCTGTCTGACATTTTCCTCTGGTCCCGTCCCGCCTAGGACCATCTCGGAGGCCCCGGATCGGAAGGAGTTCCCCGAGCGCACGGAATGACCGGACCTCTGAGGGGGGGGTGGGTTGGAAGGAAGACTTGAGGGCTTTGTGAGGGCCCCAAGATGAAAGGCCGAACCGCCCCTCAAACCCTCGAGCTCCGATAAGAGAACAGCAAGAACACTGTCTCCATCTCGATTCAAGGAGCCCCATGTGGTTTAGCCGCTGCGACGCAGGTCGTGGTCGGGTCGGCGAGGAGCTGTCCAAAATCTCAGCAGAGCCGTCGGCTATGCACTCTAGCTTCAAGCTTCTTCATGCTGGCAGCTCCGACAGCAGACTTCTGCAGATTCTGCAGATTCTGAGGCCTGGGCCCCAGAATCTTGGAATTGGAAGGAGGACGCCACCGCGTCGCTCTTCCCGGCGAGCCTACGAGCAGAGGGCCATACTTCAACCCGAAACTAAAGCTTCCGCTGCTGAACTCGGATCTCTTCTGAGCTTGGGGCTGGTGCAGCAGGTCGAATCCCGACTGGTCCCGGCTGAACATCGACACGCCTGAGAGGAGGCAACGGGGAGCGCCTGGGCGCCTGAGCGCCTCCCTCCCTCCGCTCCATCTCCTCTCTCTCTCTGCTCTCCCTCTTCCAGCTGAGGCTTTGGTGGTTGGGAGTTTTGGCCAGAGCTGAGACGAGACGAGGCGACCCGCGGCGGCCGGGCTCGGCGCCCATGGAGCTCTTGATGCTCTTGGCCCCGACGGAGCTCATGCGGCTGTTCACGCGGCTCATCGACGCCTCGCCTCAGAGCAGAGCCCCCGCAGGAAGCGTCCCAAGCGGCGCTTGCACCGCGGATTTCTGCGCTACATCGGCTCACTGGCGAGGCACAGCGCGGCTCTCCGGAGAGGAGGTCGCTGTCCCCGGGGTAGGGCTGTCCGTTGTTCGAAGGCGACATCGGCGTCGGAGAGCCTGAATAGAAGAAGGCCCAAAACATCCATGATTAAGACTTCGAGCTGCACCCCTGGGCATCGTCACGTATCGTCATGTCATGTCTCACGGTATTCTACGGAGGTCGCCCCCTTTCTCTTTGGGCGCCTCCGCCTCCGGCCCGGCTCGGGGCTGGCAGCGCCGGGATCGGCGTGGGGGTCAGCGCACGAGGAGACTCCAGCTGCAGTCCTCACGACGCACCACCAGGCTCGTCATGGCCCGAAACCCGCCGCCCCGAGGCGTAGCTGAGCAGCTGAGCCGCTCTTTAGCCCTAAAGCGAACTAGCGAAAGCTGCGCTCAGCACGGCCAATATCTGCTCCTGAAGTGCGCGGGCTGCCGATTCCATTTGCATCTGCCTGGGAGGCACACCGGCGGTCGAGCACAGAGAGGAAGAACACAAACACTAGGCACAAGACACGAGATGGTCACCTTCTTTCTCATCGCACCGAGCTCATCATCAAGCCGTCATATCAGAACATCAGCATCATCACCATCACCCTCGGATCCACCGTCGTCGTGCAGGTTCACGACAGGAAGGCAGCAACTCTCTGTCACACTCGCAAATGCCTTTCGTCGTGGCAGAAATCCGATAGGTTCCAGGCTAAATCCATACTGCGCAATCTATGTTCTACGACACCCACACCGTGCTGCGCTACACAAAATACTGTGCTCTCTTGCACAGCACTCTGCCAGCAGAATATCGAACTCTCAGCTTCTGATGCTCAACGAAGACGGCACTGCATGTTACTGTTACAGGTCTCTACGAGACCAACCTTCACGAAACTCCAAGTTTTTCTGCGTGACTTTACACGAGTCTACATCATAGGGCGTGCCAATGGTCATGCTTTTATACTTATACTGCTTTGAGATTTTCACTGAATCATGATTCTCAGCCTTGCGTGGCAACCTTGCACTGCGGCCCCAAACCTGAATGCCAACGGTCTACGCGTAAGAACTCACACTGCCTCGGCCGAACCATTGGCGTTGCTGTCCAGCTGTCCGGTCGTTTTCGCCTTGTTCCAAAGGTAGAGAATGGTAGAGAGGTTGAGGGCTGTACTGTGGGGCCCATGCAACTAGACAGACACCGAAACTCAACAGCCGCACTTGACAAGGGGAGACACACGCCCAACCATACCGGCCTTGTTCAACTTCTTCATGGACGGCACTTGGAGCAAGCGACCCTTGGAAGAAGGGGGACATGCGCGAGGCATTTCTGAATCACAAACACGCAGCCAGCATGGTCTTCCTCCAGTATTGGGGTGCCAAGTTGGAGGGTTCAAGTCCAGGATGCTTGGGATTGAACCGCCTTTCGACGCAAGCTTCTTTGCACAGGCGGGTGTCCTAAGCCTAAGCACCAAACCGATGGGAGCATCGATTGGAAAAGTCTCGAAAAAAAGACCAATATGATGATGCTAAGCTGCTAGACCAAATCAATCAAACTCTGCGCCCTGCGTACTTTTAGCACACGTACCACGTACCACAGTCCTCCAAGCGTGCTCTGAGCCCCGCGCTGGGCCGCCGGACTCCTCGTTGCCGAGGGCCTGGAGGCGGAATTTAGTGACTTCTTGGGGGTTTCGGGTTCGGCGTTGAGAGGTTACGTAGTCGGGCTGAGCGCCAAGGATTTCAAATCTTCTCGGGTTTTTGTTCCAGTTCCTGTGGTCTTTGCTGTTCGTGCGCGGAGTCTTTGTGTCATCACGGTCATCCCATGTCATCCCCTAGAGCCACAGGCCGGGGGGGGCTGCAGATGCAAATCCAGGAGGGGCTAACTTCGGGGCGTCTGTTTTCGTGCTCCGTATCGGCGGAGTCAGTAACGGACACATGCTTGGCTGTGGTAGCACATTGGAGGTACACTTGTTTAAGCGCAACGAGTCTACAGTGTACAGCAACAAACGGTTGCTGCTCATTTGCTTTCCTGTCACAACAGAGGTCGTCCTTAAGCTGATGTCATTACGAATCACCAGACCAGAATCCGTGAGTTCAGGCCTTGCAACATGAATTTCGGGACCCTTGGGACTATCTCCAGCCTCGAACGTCAACCCCATCCGAGATCTGACGCGGGAACGTCCAGCACTCCCCTGTGCTCCGGCTGAGGGGAAGGCCGTGACTGACCGCTTGCGCTGAGGCGGGATGCGCACCTGGCTCCCGTTTTGTCTCACGTGTACTGTTGTTCCTGTCGTTCCTGCATATCGTCGCTGCGCTGTTGAGCTATACATGACATACCACGGCCATGACCCTGATCATGCTGCGACTTTTGCGAATATTTACATCCACAACAGCAGCAACAGCAACAGCGACAACGATGGCAGCGAGCGCAAGCAACACGGTTGCTGTTTTGGCACACTCGTTGTTTGTCGTCGTTGTCATGATCATGTTGGTTCTTGGCGTTGTCGGCTTATTGTGCTTGTCCTGATGCTTTCTGCTGTTTGGAGTCTTTCTGGTTGCCGTTGCTGTTGCTGCTAGCACCTTTGCTAGAGTCGCTTGTGTTGGTGCAACTGGGCACTGTTCTTCTACCTCTCGCCGCTGCGGCGACGACACCAACAGCCACAATGATCACTGCAGCGGGACCCTGTGCAGTTGGAGGAGAGAAAGGCCCTGCTCTGCTCTCTGCTTGCTGTGCGCCTTCGGGTCGCCGCCTGGCAAACCTCGGAGCTTCGACGGGGCTTCGGCGGGCAGAGATATGGGGCCCCTTGCAAAGGCTCCAGACCCCCAGACCACAAAAAGGACCGGCCCAAGCGTCCGTACCCTCCGAGACCTGCACTGGAGGAGTTCTCCTCGTCCTGGTGCTCCGGCTCCAGCTCCTCCTCGAAGCGACAGCCGCAGCCAAGCCACGGTGAGCACAGCCCCTCTCCGCCCTCCGTCAATATAGCATAAATAACTCATGATCCAGAATAGATACATAGATACACCTACGTATATAAATATATATATAGATAGATACACACATATGCATTTGCATGTGTGTGTATATATATATATATGTATATACACACATACACTGTATACCTCTGCTGACCTTTTCGTGAGTATCGGAGTCTTCCAGGCCCAAGCCTTGTCTTTCTTGCTGTTCGAGGCCACGGCGTCTTGCTTGGAGTGGCCTCCGTGCACGGGACAAAACAGCACCTCTGGGCGCATGTGCCTGTCGTAGAGAGATAGAGAAAGAGATCGAGAGATGGAGATATAGAGTTAAAGCTATGGGAAGATCCTACATTCGTTCCTACATTATACCGTACTGATAAGCTGATATTGAGGCTGCAGAGAGGGACTGAGACTCGGACGTGGACTGAGACGAGTGACTAGACTAGACTAGTAAATACATGGGAGTTTCCGAGAATTCGGGGTACCTTATTTTGGGGTCCTTATACGAAGGATCCTACTATTTAGGGTACCGTATTTGGGTCCCCTGTTTTCAGAAACTCCCACATAGTCGCAAGATGGCTGGATGAAACGAGAGACAGGCAGATAGACAGGAGACGATTAGACGAATAGAGAGGCAGATAGATCGATTGACAGATGGATCGATAGCCAAATAGATAGATGGATACAGGTTGCAGGGACGCCCATTCAATATGTGCGCCGTGTGACGACGATTTTGTTGTTGTTGCTGCTGTTGCTGCTCCAGGTGTTGTTGTTGTTGACGGCGCTTAAGATCATCTCTATGGACTCAAAAAACTTCCACGAACACACAATCCACAGAAGAAGAAAAACATGCAAAACACATTAAGCCACTAAGACCCCCATGCAATCACAACAAATGACATGAACGAGACACACATCCATTGAAAAAGAGCAATAAAAAGCGGCCACGGTCGCAAATTGGCCGAGGAAGAGACGAGGCGAGTCCGGCTGGTACGAGAGGTCCTGCCGTCGAAACGTGTCTTGAAGTTGTCTACGTTTTGGGGGATTTAGTTCGGGTTTTGGAGGCTTCTGGAAGGTTTGGGAGTTCAAGGGCTTCTTTAGTTCAAGTATGACAGGCTGTTGCCTTTAGGGGTTTAGGCGTAGAGGAGTTCAGGGCTCAGCAACTCTTTCGAAGAGAACGGCGCACCATCCCCCTCTGCTCTGGGCCAGTCCCGGCTGGTCTTGTCGGACTTCCGCTGCTGGTTGACAGGGCTTCCTTCGCCTTAGCAGTTCAATGGAAGGTCAGATACAGATATCGAGAGGGATATAGATATCAATACAGGTGGAGATATAGGTATACATATAGACAGATGTAGATGTAGATACGGATATAGATATCGGAGATATTGATAAAGACGTAGATATAGATGCAGATATAGCTATAGATAGGGTACAGACCTGGATATAGCTAGTTATAGATAGTTGCAGATATGTAGATATCGATATGCATGTAGACATCAACAGACAAAGATATAGACATTGAAAAAATCCTGACTGTCGCTGCCGAGGTCTTGGCTGGCGTTCTGCTGCAGGTCGGCCGCCACCTTGTCTCCCTCTTTGTCAGCCTCCTTGTCGCCCTCCTTCTCGCCGTCTTTCTGACCTTCGCAACATGCCCAACTCCACCCGAAAGTGGAAGCTTCCGTTGGAGGGCCGGGCGTTTCAAGGGCCGACGGTTCACCACGAGGAGGTCACCTCAGAGCGAGGCATTCCGGAGATCCGATCCGACCCAAGGTTCAAATCTCAGCCGGGCCACCCTCGTCGTCGTCCAGCACCTGCCGGTTCCGGGCTGCTTTCCGCCGAGAGCTTTCGTTTTCGAAGCAACAGCCACAACAAGACCACCAAACCAGCACAATCGGCATCACCGCGCTCGTCGCCAACATCGCCAATACGCCTAGGAACCCGGCCTCTTGGCTCTGTTGCTGAATGAAGATCTCAGCCTGCACAGAGCACTCAGAGCACTGGGCCAGGCTGAACGGCCAGGCCGGGACGGCTGGGACGGCTGGGATGTGGGAGAGTCGGATGTCGCACAAGTCGCGTGCGCATTCTTGTGCCTCTGCACCCCCGAAACGTCTCAGAGCCTGGTATCAGGCGCCTGTGGACTTGTGGCTACAACTGAGTAGACTCTAAACTCAGAACGCAGATCGAGGCACCAAACACCGAAAGACCATAAGCCGGCAAAGCTGCCACACAAACCGGTCATGAAACAAGCGTAGACAGAGACGGAGGCATGCGGCAAATAACCCTTTCGCCGTTCGCCTCTTGATAAGTGCGACCTCTCCCTTCTCTTCTTGTGGCCGCACCCCACGCGCTGAGACCCCGGCAATTTACACCCCAACAAATCAAAACAAACTGCAAGCGGGAGTGACACGCAAACTGCAGTTTCTCGCGAAGCGCACGGAAAGCTTGAAGGTCGAAACGAGTAGCTTGAGGATCAACAGCAGCGTAGGGGCGTAGGGTGTAGGGACATATGTCAACATATGTCTGCGCATGCCCAGGGGGCTAAACATCATGTCGTGCTTGACCGGAATGGGCTACGTCTGCCACGTCACATTGGTGTGATTACACAGCCAGACAGTCAAAAAGGATTGGTGTTAGTGCCGCATTACATGCCAAACAGCGTTGGGGTAACAAGTGCTACGGTTACACTGCCACACGATTGGGATACGCACGCATCTCTCGCTGACACAGCCATGACGAAACGCAACGCCGTACTGAAGAGAGTTTCCAAGAAGGATCTGGACCCCAGTGAGGGAGGTAGAGACACGGGCAGAAAGAGGATGCGAGGATCCGAAGTGAAAACCCCTCTTTGTCTCTGACTCGCGATAAACTGACCAACCCCTTGAAGCTCAACTGCTGCCTGGAGGGCTTCGCTTGCAGAGCAACGCACCTGCGAAGTTTTTTTTGGTTTAGGGTTTCGTTTGGGAGCGCTGATATCAAGGCTCTGGGGTTCAAGCAGCTCTAGACTTAGACTGCAACCGTGCAGAGCCTGAGTGAGTCGGGGAGGGGGGAGGTGGTTCCGTTTAAGCGATCTTGCGACATCAGGAAGAAACGCCTCACCTCATCTCAGAGCAAACACTACGAACGACCGGGGAGAGTCACAGTGTTGTCGACAACCCTGCATCGTCCTTCATCGATAGTCGGACAGTTGCGACAAGTTTGATGCTGATTATGACGGCTTCAACACCTGGACTGGCAAGACCTTCTTCATCCTCATGACTCATTCATCGCGGCGAAAGATTCTGTCCAAAAGCCCGAACCCTGAAAAGTTGACTCTAAATCCCAATCCGAAACGCTGCGAGCTTGGCAAGGGCCTCTGGGTTCCGTCGCAGCAAAGTCCTCATAAACTCCACCACCTCTGCAGCTGAACATGTCCGACCAAAGTCGTGTCGGGGGCTTTGGCAATGTGGCTGCTTGGGTTTGGCTCGGTCTCGAAACAAGCTTCCGTCAAGAGAAGGAACGAGGATGTCAATTGCAAGCCTGGCAACAGGAACTATGATGATAAAGCAGCACTAGGACCCGGACACGCACAAAAAGCAGCAGCAACAGCAGCGGCAGCAGCAGTAGAAGTAGTAGTCGTCGTCGTCGTGGAGGAGGTGGAGCAGGAGCAGCAGGAGTAGTAGTAGCAGGAGTAGTAGTAGCAGCAGTAGCCGCAGTGGCAGTAGTTGTCGTCGTCGTTGTCGCCGTTGTCCTGTCGTAGTCCTCGAAGCTGCAGCAGCTATCACGACTTTGGCATTGTACGCCTACTCCACTCCCGAAGCGAAGCGTAAACCTTCCCGAAGGCTCTGAGCGGCTCTGAAACGGCTCTGGAGCGTCCGCCTTGAGCCTCTTGACCTGCACTGCGAGGTGTCGGGCTAACGTCTCGTCCTGGGCCTGCTGACTGCCTGGCGCCGCCGCAAGCGGTCAGGTTGGATTCGCACGTTCGGGCTTGGGCTTCTTGGCTGTGCAAGGCCGCGGTTTTTGAGTTCTGGCTCGGGGCTGCAGGCCGCAAGAGAAGAGAAGAGAAGAGAAGAAGAGAAGACCTCAAGAGAGACTGCAAGGGACCGCCGCCCCGCTCCGGGCTGTGCCTGTCAAGGGATTCGTCAGTGGCTCCTCGCTGCTTGGGGCGATCTTGTGGAAGTCGCTCGAGGAGCCTCGGCTCGGCTGCAGGGGAACGCGGCTTTCAAGCGGAGAGCGCGGTGCGCTCTCCGGCGCCTGGAAACCCGGCCACCCCCGCCCGGGTCCCCGGCCGGTGTTGGAGCTTTGGCCTTGCAGGCGCCGGCGCATCTCCAGCCGGCCCTGATGAAAGAATCGTGCTCTGCTCTCGCCCTCCCCCCGAAAGCCCCAAGCCCCTCTGCCCCTCTACTCTCATCTACTCTCAAAGCGCCTGCTCAGCTGCGATGCTGCGCTTGAGCTTGCCGGCAAGGTTCATGAGCCTCGAGATCGAAAGAGAGCCCTCAAAGGCCTTCGAGCCGCTCCTGGGATCCTGGCCTTACCGGCTCAGTCTCCACCTGCAGGGCACTGGCAACCCGCTGGGCTGGTGGGCTTCGTCACGGACCCATTGGCCCATTTGCAAGCCCCGGGGCAGAACCCAGGAAACCTGGACGCTCAAGCAGACCTGACGTCTTTTCGATTTCAGCCGCCGAGGCGATTCCTCCCATAAATTTCCGTTTGGCTTCGCCACAACTCACCAGTCACGGGAGCGGTCATCGCAGCTGCGACTCTCGGCCACGGCCTGATTTCTCGAATGCAACATGCAAAATGCGCAAACCGGCCACCAGCCACCATTCTACTTTCTGCTTCAGCCGGAGGCCGTGCCACATCTCACGAAGGAGTGCAGAGCAATCGCTCTTGCAGCGAGTCAAGAAATTCAAGAGGCGGCTGGCGCCGCTTCACATGCCAATCGAAAATCCCGACTCATTTTGGGATGTCTTTCGCGATGCAGCGCTCATTCTGTGACCGGCCGCCGCTCGAAATAGACTTTGCCCAGCAATTCGCTCTGCTGTCCCTTGAGGGACTCTCCTTGCGATTCAAGATGCAAGATGACGTTGGCCTGCATCCTCTCCTGAGCTGGGATCCAAGGGCTTCGTTGGCGGCCGGGTGGGGTGGCCTCTTCCAGCCTTTCGTGTTTCACAGACCCGTTTGAACCCCGTCCCTAGCATTGGCATGTACGTCACAGATGCTCTTGCCGAGTCGCTTCCATCTCTTTCCGCTCGACTTCTGGATCCCGCTGCTCATTCAGTATCTCGCCCCAAGTGAACTTCTTCAGCTCTTTCACGCAGCCCAGCTGTCTGAGAATCAGGATGACGACGACGGTCACAGCCATCTCAATGTAGGTGGTTAGGGCCAGGGCTGAGGAAAGCGCGGTGAGAAAGGCCGCCCTCGTTCTTGTTGTTCTGGTCTCCCTTTGAATATATTGGACTTTGAAGCTCGTGGGTTCCACTCCAAAGGCTTTCATGGGGCAGTTGCCGATTCTCACTTCCTCATCCGATAGCTGAATACGACTACTGCTACTTGGGCAGATTGGGTACACGGATGGGGAAGGCCGCGCGCTCGCTGCAATCACGTAGTCCATCTGCTCCTGAACGACCGGAAGGCAAAAACTGGCTGGGATTCGGATGCTGCCGGCAGGGTGACACGCGCTTGACTCCCTGCTTGGCGGTGTGGACGAAGTTTGGTTTTCAGCCGCTGAACAACAGAAGCTCGGGCAAGCCGGGTACTTCAGCACAGCAATTTTTGATCCACCGGCACGCTTCTGCTTCCATACTCAAGGGGCACCAGAAATCGGAGCCTGGTTTGCATCCAAACTCAGAATGATTTGAACCGGCCAAAAAATCGACGCCTCGATGCAGCGGGATGAAAGGCGAATTCCGCACGAAGCCCTGCGCCCACTCGTCTTGTATCCTGCAGGCATTCCATGTGATTTGATCGAGGATCTCAGCCTTGTCAAGTTTAATATGTGGCCCCGGCCAATAAGAAGGATTTTGCCATCCCACAACTCTTATCGTTTCTCTGGAACGGTTCGGGGATGCATAGTCCTCCTCAGACCATTGTCCGGCAAGGTTGTAGGATTCAAGAATGCATGCACTGTAATCACAGGCGTACTCGGTTGTGGTGAGACCGTCCAGGGAAATCGAGGTTCCATTCCCCTTGAACCACTTGGTGCCATTCTCCGAAGTGCATCTGCCAGGCAGCTTGACATGCTCCAGCAGGACGCGATCCACCTCAAAGATGGGGCCGCTAAGCAAAGCTGTGTCCTCGCGACTGTCGTCGGTGACGAGAACTGTTTCCAGGGCCATGTAGTAGCCCAGAACCGGCACAAAGCATGCCACTGACAGGGTGGCCACAGTGATGGCCAGGCACAAAGGTTTGTTGAAGTTCGTGAAACGAGGATTCACGAGACTCACCGCCAGCAAAGCCGCCTTGCCCACAATCGACTGAGACTCTGCCATGGCAGTTCGTGAAACACGGCCGCAATCGGACCACGGGGAATGGGGACTTTCATCTTCCCAAGCTGCGTGAGAGATGGCCGTCACGGCCCCAACACATCCCCATGTTTTAACGGATCACTCGCAGATCTCCGAGTTTTTTGGGTCACTTCTCTCTTTTGGAGCGCTAATTACCCGGGAGGCCGCCTGGCCTTGATGATTTGCCGCGTCAACTCCGACTTCGTCTGCTTTGACTGCCCTCAGCGGCACAGCGCAGAGCTCGCTCTCTGCTCCCGCTGCTCTGCTTCCCTTCTCTTCGGCGTCGGCTTCAGAAGCTGCAAGGCGCCGGGCCGATCGGGAACTGCCCCACCAAGATCACGTACACCAACCTCAGCAGAGGAGGTGTCTTCAAACTTCGAGAGCCCAAGACTTCAAGACTCTCCAGCTTCTTTGTCTGGGGCCCTCACACGCCAAGGGACCACATGTCCTCGGATCCACACATGGCTGTCAGGAGCTTTGCGGTCCCTATCGCAGGCCCAGCCAAGTTGCCAGCGCCCAGCCCATCACAGACAGAAACAGAAAGACCGAGACAGAGACCGACTTACATACACAGAAACATCCCGTTACACGCATGATGTAGTACACACATATTAGGCACATTCAGTCACATGCACATGTGCATACGTGGTCAACATAACGTGTAACATGCAGGTAGAGTGGTTGGCAGAAGAACCGTTCGAGTCTTCCGCAGGCTTTCCCGTGCAATCTTCCCCCTCGCGACCATCGCTTCACCTAGAAGCACACATCATGAGCCCAACCTACAGGACGGCTTCTCTGTCCCATTCTTGGGCAACCTGTCGCTTGCCATCAACCGTCCAGTTCAAACGACAAGATGCTGGATGGCCGCAACCATGCAGCGCGTATCATCAGCGTCATCTCACTGACGGCTTACCGGCCCCATTCATCTGCAGCCTTTCGCTTGAAATCTCATTCTTTCCCAATTCACAAGAGTGCGCGATGAATAGCCGGTGACGGCTTCCGCACCAAAGTTCTTCCCCAATCACGAGAGTGCGTGCACCAACCATGCAGCACGCATCATTAGCATCATCCGACTGACAGCTTACCCGCACAATTAAACTGTAGCTTCTCACTTGCAAGCTAATTCTTTGCCAATTCACGAGAGTACGCGATGAAAGCCCCCTGTTTTCTTGGCCGAAACATCGGGTTGACTCACCTTGAAGTAGGTATTTCGTTTTCTTGGGCGAAGCATCGAGCTAGCCTGAGGAGGCATCCTGTTTTCTTGGGCGAAGAATCGGGTTGACCTGAGGCAGCGTCCTGTTTCCTTGGGCGAAACATCGGGTGAACCATCGGGCTGACTTGAGGCAGCATCCGGTATTTTTGGGCGAAACATCGGGTTGACCTGAGGAGACATCCTGTTGCCTGAGGAGGCATCTTGTTTATCATCGGGTTGACTCACATTGAAGTAGGTATTTCGTTTCCTTGGGCGAAACATCCAGCTAACCTGAGGAGGCATCCTGTTTTTCTTGGGCGAAGCATCGGGTTGACCTGACACGAAGACATGACGCGAGACGAAGACAGACACGACACGAAGACACGGCGCAAGGACACGACATGAGGACGTGACAAGAGGAAACCACACGAAGACGAAGATACGATACGACGCGAAGACATGACACGACCCGAAGACGGAGACTCGATACGACAAGAAGACATGACACGAGGAACCGACGTGAGGACACGATGCGAGGACACGACACGAGTGCGCGACAAAAAGAAACGAGACACGATACAACACGAAGACATGACACGACGCGAAGACACGACGCGAGGAAACGGCGCGAAGACGAAGACACGATCGACGCGAAGACACGACGCGAGGACACGACAGGAGGACACAGACGCCGCGCGACACGAAGACATGATGCGACACGAAGACACGACGCGAAGACACGAAACGACGCGAGGACACGACAAAAGGACAGGACACGAAGACGAAGACACAATAAGACGCGAAGACATGACAGGACGCGAAGACACCGCGCGAGGACACGACGCGAGTACACGAGACGAGGACACGACGCAAGGACACGACGCGAAGACCAAGACACGACACGACACGACACGAAGACATGACGCGACGCGAGCACACTTTGCGAGGACACGACGCGAGTACACGACATTAGCGCACGACACGAAGACGAGGACACGATACGACACGAAGACACGACCTGCAGACGAAGACACCGTACCACGCGAAGAGGACACGACAAAACGCGATACGAAGACACGACACGCAGACACGACACGACAAAAGGACACGACGCGACACGAAGACACGACACGAGGACACGACACCAGGACACGAAGGAAACGACGCGAGGACATGACCCCCTTGCAGGGCGTCGGGGTGTCGGGGGCAGCGGGGCGGTGGGTCGGGAGGGAGGCGGGTTCGGAGCGTGGGCGGGGGGTGGGCGGTTGCTGCCGCGACCCGGTAAAGAGTCCCCCTTAGCTTGACGGATTCAGAAAACACCGCGACCCACCTCTCGTGGAGTTTCCCCATAGCTTGACGGATTCAGAGGGTCGCCGAGACACGCCGCCACAACCCGCCTCTTGCGGCGTCCCCCCTTAGCTTGGCAGCCGCCACGACACGCTTCTTGCAGAGCTCCCCTTGTGTAGCTTGGCTTCAGAGGGCCGCCGCGACCGCCTCTTGTGGAGTTCCCGCTTACGTAGCTGACGTAGCTTTATACGGATTCAGAGGGCCACCGCGACCCGCGTCTCGTGGAGTTTCCCTTAGCTTGGCGGCTTCAGAGGGCCGCTGCGACCAACATCTTGTGGAGTGCCCCCTGCGGGTGCGCGACACTCGCGAACGCTTGCGGACGCTTGCGAACGCTTGCGCGCGCTTCTGACCCCCAGATCTCCCCCCCAACTTTAAAACGAGAACCCTTCTGCGGAGCTTCTGCGGAGCATTCAGGAATATGAAGTGAAGAAGACGGGCGCATCCCGAACTGCCCGACCATGAAGATAGAAATATCTAGAAACGGTGAATCGGGAAGAAGATGAAAACCCAAACAAGAAAGCGAAGCGAATCAGCTAGAAGATGCCAACATTCGTAAATGTCCGAACATGAAAGACGGAGCGTCCGGAAACGCCCGAATATGAATGCGGTCAAATTCGGTAATTATGAGGAATAGGCGGAGCAAACCAGACAAGACACGTAAGGACTTTCAGCACATGTTACGTCGAATTGCAACGAATTCAGTAGCTCATGAATGCCTAATCCCCCACCTTACCTACCCTCATAACCGCTTCTTGGAAATATACCTACCACGGCGTTCATGGTGCTTGGAAGTGTGCCTGTCGTCGCCCTTGAAGCATTACTTACTGTTGTGGCCACCTAGCTCTTGCTGGAAGTCTACGCAAGGTCTGGCTCTGGGAGCGCGCCTACCGTTATAGTTTGGTTGTCGTCTTGGAAGTTGTACCTACCGTCGCGACCGCCTGGTTCTATGTACACCTGATTCTTGGAAAGGTGCCTACCGTTGTGGCTATGGTTCTTGAAGTGTACCTGCCGTGGCTTTGGAAATGTGCCTTATTTTGCCTGGTTGTTTTACGCCCTGACAAGTTCGGATTTAGTGGAAGGCGCGGCATCTCTGCGACATGCATGCTCTCAAGGTCCTGCAAAACTACTTTGTTGAATTCACTGGTTGTGTATTGGGGCAATATGGAATACATAACATTTCTAACGTTAACGCGCGACGCTGCGCCAGATATTAATATTATGTTACGCCAAGAGGCCGCGACACTGTAAGTACCAGGTTTTTGTGGCATGTTCACAAAGACGACGTGAACCCTTGCGACAGCGTGTTTTTCATTCCTGAAACGTCAAACACCCTTTTGCGTTATGTTGCGCAAAGAGGAAGTATTTACCGGTGTCTTTACAAGACATGCGCGCTTGCGACAGCGCATCGAAACGTCAGACAACCTGTTGCGCCACGTTGCGCAAAAAGGCAAAAACGCTGTGTGTAGCAGCGTTTTGGGGCACGGTCACCGTAGGAAGGGACGTAGGTATTCCCGTGCCCTCAAAAAACCAGAGGAAAGACATCCAAAAACAAGAAAAGCCGAAGAAATCAGAGGAAACGACCAGGCTAAATACAGCGCAAGGACCACTTACAAGACAAGTGTTCTGCGATGTCCACCTGCCATCGTGGTCTTGGAACTGTACCTATACCACTATGATCCACTGGATCTCTGACGCAAACCTACACCGGGGCCTGGTTCTTGGATTCTTGGAATTGTACCTGCCGTGCGGCCGCCTTGATATTGGAAGTTTACCTACAGTCGTGGCCACCTGGCTCTTGGAAGTGTGCCTGGCGTCCGTCGTGGGCAGCTGGTTCTTCGAGCCGCGTCTACTGTCGTGGTCGCTTGCCCTTCGGGGTTGTACTTACCGTCACGGTCGCCTTGCACGTGGAATTAATTAAATGACGTTGTGGTCGGCAGTAAGCGCCGCGGTCACCTAGTTCTTTAAAAGTGGACCTGCCTACTGCTGCGGCCGCAGTTCTTGGAAGTGTGTCTGCAGTCGTCTTCGAAATTTTCCTACACCGTCATGGCCGCCTGGTTCCTGGAAGTATGTAGCATCTGTTCAGCTGGTTCTTGGAGGTGTATGTCGTGGTAGCTTCCTGGTTTTGAAAGTGCTATGAGTTCTTAGACCTTGGAGGCGTACCTACCGGTTCTTGAAAATGACCATTATTGGAACTTATGATCCACTGAATCTTAGAGGCGTGCCTACCCGTGGTGGATTGGTTTTTGGAAGCTGTACCTCCTCATGGCCGCATGGTTCTTGGAAATGCATGTACTTTACCTCTTCATGGCCGCATGGTTCTTGGGCCTCTTGGGCGTGCATGCAGTGTCTGGTCCCTTTCTTGGGAGTATACGTCGTGGTCAGCTGGTTTTTGGGCGTGTGCCTACGTCGTATTCGCTTGGTTCTTGGATCTGTGTCTTCCGTTATGACCTACTGGATCGTACCTACCGTTGCGGTGGGCCGGGACTTGGTGGGGAACAGCAGGTTCCAAGAACAAGTATTTGTATGATTAACTCATGGTTCTGGTATATGGTTTCACTAATCTGTGAGTTTATGATTTCGACCATAACAAAACTACATTAACTAAATTCAAAACCATATCAAAACCATAAGCGGCAAGAAACCCTGAACTAAAATGAAAGCGGAAAATATCACAAACAAACTCACAACAATAGCAAGCTGTACATTTTCCGAACGTCCAAGCTGCCTGGCTTCAGCAGCGCTGACGCCGCAGAGCAACAGTGAGGCCTTGACGGTCGTTGGGGCCAATCTTGACATGTTGGCAGCCCATGTGGCCCCAAAAGCTGAATGCATCTTTGGTGGCATTGAGGGCCACCAAACGACACAAGCGCTTGTCCGCCAAGCCATCAATCTGCGCTGCCATGGCGCGGCCTCCGCCGGCCGCT